GAAATTAAATGCGCGTGCGGACTGACTCAAACTCCAATCTCCAAGACGAGCCTTCAGGTTTTTGTTTTTATCTCCTTTTGCAGGAAATAGACAGACGGTTGGAAAAGAAGCTGAAGATCACACAGAAGGAAAGGTAATGATGCTGTGCGGTTCGGTTAAAAAAAAACCCAACCCTTCTTTTCCTGAGGTGCTGTTGGACGTCTGAAGACCTGGGGAGTGGGAATAGTGGGGAAACGGCTTCAAACTGAGCAGAACGCGCTGGGTTGGAGTTCAGAAATAGGGAATCTCTGTAATCGTGCCACTAGATGGCCCTTTCAGTCCGTAGCAGGGTAGCGGAAAGCTTCTTGAGAGTGATTTTATTTCAGAGCCGGGTCTTCCAGACTGGATGTAGCTACAGCTATGGGGAAGCCATTTAAGAAAAAGACACTCAAAGGAAGAAATGGGTGAGTCAGGTAATCCCAACTCATGGCCCTAAATTGGCTTGCCGTGTCTTGCGTCAGTAGGATTTTCTTTTCCTGCTTACTTTGGGTTGGGGCGGGGGCGTGTGTGTTATTGTCTTTAGCAGAAATATTTCTGATCACTTCTGACAAGTCTTTTGTTGTTGCTTTTTTGTTTATCCCCTCTGATTCTTAGTAGGCCACTTAGAGTCATGGTATTACTTCTCTGGGACTTCCGCATAGAGAAGGGACCATTAAAAAAAAATAAAAAAAGTCAAATGATGAGACGGGGGCCCAGGCTGGCTCCGAGAAGTGAAACGGCAGGGTTGAAGCAGAAGACTGGGTATCCTGGTGAGAGGAGCCCTAAAAATCCTTGCAGAGAATGGAATCCAGGTGTTTATACCGATATCTGAGAACATAAGTGCTCAAACTCTTGCCCAGTCTCTGCTTCCCTTTGCTTTGGTCGAGTTTAAAGATGTCGAACGCAGCAGGGACTGGTTTTCTGGCCCTTCTTGAGCTAATCTCCTCCAAACCTGCCTGCTGCTCTAGTTTAGGGTTACAAATATAACGAGGTCTTTAATTATTACAGGCTGCCTCTTAATCACGGGAATGACATCTGACTGGGAGGAATTCACATGCAGAGTGAAAAAACATGCTCGCCATAGAAAACAAGAACCAACCAAATGTTTTTCTTTTAAACAGTAGAAAGTCAAAATCTCCTCCTAAAGTGCCGATCGTGATTCAGGACGACAGCCTTCCTGCGGGTCCTCCCCCTCAGATCCGCATCTTGAAGAGACCGACAACCAACGGTGTTCTCAGCAATCCCAACTCCGCCAGCAGACCGGCCTTCCCCGTGAAATCCTTGGCGCAAAGGGAGGCGGAGTACGCGGAAGCCAGGAAACGAATATTGGGCAGCGCGAGCCCCGAAGAAGAGCAGGAGAAACCCATTCTAGATAGGTGAGAAACCCGGTTTTATTTAGGCGAGAGCGGCCTTGCGTGCCGTGGCGTATCCGAGTGCTCCTTGTGAACGCCTTCCTATCAGGAGGGGGATGAGCTCCTTGAAGAGGAGGTCACCAAGGAGGAAGGAGTGCTTTGTTAGCAAGCAGGGTGTCATAAATCTCTCATATACAGGAGTTAAGGGAAGCGCAAGGCGGTAAAGGTTACCTTGGACCCTTGG